TTTTGGCTTTTTTTTTTGTGTGTGTCAAGTGGTCAAAAACTGTTTCTAAATGCTACAGCTCTTGTGAAGGGGATATATATATATATAATATACATATATACACACACACACAAAGATGTCTGTTGTGAATGCATTAAATTGTGTGTTTTTATCCTCCTAAACAGTTTTCAAAGGCATCAAACATGACAACACTGTTTTAGAAAACCAAACGTTTTTTGGGGGGTGACCCACTATATTTACATAATTGCCCTTTTACTAACATAATTGTTTCAAACTGAGTTATAAAATCCAAATGAAGCCAACAAATGTGTACCCGAGCATCATTACAGTGTGACATCATGAGCCTTAATGTGCAGCGCAGCATTCTGAATGAAAAACAATGGAGGCACAGGAAGAGCAGACAGGAAATATACACATCCCTCCCTTTGTCTCTTAGCCAAAGGATCGGCAACAGAACTCAGCATAAGGAAGGGCACAGAGAGAGCCACGTTCTTCTGCTTTACGAAGCCAAAGCAACTTCTCATGAGCCACACCACCGCTTTTACTCTGCAATCAAAACTGCGTTCCAGCGGGCCCTGTAATTAACTCGAAAAGAATGATGAAACAGAAGCTGCAAAGACAACTGGAGGCTTTTAACGACACTCCAAAACATTTTGGCAGTGAAGCCTCTCTTTTACTGCTCTGTTAAAACATTTGCGAGTTCTTATCTAGAGGAGTCAAAACATTACAAATAGGTAAGAGCAGTCAGTAAAAAGAGAAGGATAAAAACTGAATTCAAACAAAACAAAGGCCTTCTATCGTTTCCTTTTTCAGCCATCCGCAGGACAGAGTATTTGTTGCGACATGGAATTAATGGCAAAACGGTAAAAAAACAGGAACCAGTTAGAAAAAAAAAAAAAAATTTAAAAAAACAACCTGACAACCCCTGGACCTCATGGCCATCAACTAATGCACTGCAGCGGAATGTGCGAAGCTGAACACAAAGTTAACTTCATCACAACTTCATTGGAGTTATTAATTATTATTTTGTTGACATATTCTCTATATAATTGCTGCCTTTTTGCCTCCTTGAGTCTGGCGCAGAGGGCACGCTTGCGGGTTCTGCTCCATGCAATTAATAGGCTTTGCAGTCTTAATAAACCACATGGAGATCATCAAAGGTTCTGATGCACACACTCTCCATAATGAGCACCATAAAGCTTGTGAATTTAAATTCGAGATTCTTCTTTCGATTCAACCTATTGGCCATTGGCAAAATCAGGAGCCCTGAACACAAATAAACAGGGCGGCTCGATATTAGCGGCTTTATGACCTTTTGGTGCCAGCACAGGGACTTTCAGAGGTGAACGTAAATGCTCTCTGTCAATCCCACGAAATGTAGTGATTAATCATTTCACAGATATCCGTGAGTGAGATCACAGACAGAAACAGGGTTGTGAAAGAAGAAAAAAAGAAGAAGCGAGAGCACGTATTCAACGGTTAGTCGGCCGCTCCACATTGAACCTGGTTTTGACGACAGCTAAGATGAATTTGCTGGAAATGAGCACCCCAATTATTGGAAATGCACAGCCAAAGCTGACAATTCCACAGCATGGTTAAGAAGAGCCAAAAAGGAAAAGGAGCAAATGATATCATTAATAAACAGATGAGAAGAATGACATCACTTAATCTCAATATGTTTTGTGCCTGTGTCCTCCCCTTACAGCTGTTAAGTGTTTTATTCCACCAACGGGACTAACGAGCCAAAGCCAATTAAATGACATACTTAACGGCAACAAGACTCAAATCCGTACAAAATTTTCTTAAAATAGTTTGCTCTGTTTCGTGGGGGGGGGGGGGATGTTAGGACTTGTTTAAAAGAATCATTTTCATTTCTTTCACCAGTTGACAGTTTTTGTGTTTTCAGGTCTGGAGGATAAAAAGTCTTCCAATATTAAGTTAGGCAACTGAGCTATAAACCCCAAAAATACATTCCATCTATTGATCAGAGTAGCAGTATGGAAATAATCTTTTAAAGAAACTGTAACCACTCCCTATTTCACATCGGCACTAGGGCCGTACTGGATTATTAGGTAATTGTCTTTGACGTTAATCTTGCGGTGCTTTCAGCTCTACCGGTGCTGGGTCAACACAATGGCCTCAGCTAATAATGTTACGCTTGCACGGGCTACAGCAGGTCACATGCAGTTTTCATTTGAGAGAGGCACACGGATGCAGGATTTATGCTCTTAATTTGGCAAGCGGTAGTTAAATGCCCCCCTCCCACCCCCAATCAGATCAACGCAGAAAAGATGCTTATTATTTACGAGTAGGGTTGGTGCTGATTGCTTCATGCTCACGGCAGGAAACAGGATCAATCTGGACTTTGTGTAGCATTTTTGTTTTCGCTCTCCAGGTGAGTGCGTAAATAGTGGATAGAATTTTGAGCTCTAGAAGAATCCAAATTTATCAGGGGGGTTAACATCAGCAGGATCACTGGCTAAACAATTCCGCTGGCAAACTTCACTCCACTCTAATAAACAGACTTGGGCGTAAAAAAATAAATAAATAAATCATTGGGCACAGTGAGGCTACGACGGTGATCATGCAGCAATTGCTCTTCAAATGCAACTATTAGAGTACAGGGGAGGCGAAAGGTAGACAGTGAAAAGAAAAACTCAGTGAGAAAGCATGGAGGCAGACAAGAAAAGAACAGAGGTACAGATTTAAGTCAGCCCTGTGGGAAATGTTTGACTATTTCAGTTTTGCAGCTGCGCGGCTAGCGATGAATGTGATAGGCGGCCCCTAGAGATTGCATCGAGTCTGAACAGCACGCCGATGTTACAGCATTTGGTTCTACTACGTTCTATCATTTTGAAACCAAATCTCTCAGAGCGAAGGAAACGGCAGGGGCCTGTCCCAAACTGTCTGCACCTCTCCTGCATGCACTTGAAGACTCATACCTTCTACACTGCCAGCATAAATTGGTATTTTCGGGCATTTGGTCCAGCTAACCTTTCTGTACAGAGAAATAAAAAACAGGAAGGCGTTGGCTGTCTTGCCAAGGGTGCCTCTATGTCCTCAGAAGCCATCTCGCGTCTCTCCAGCACCAAGCTAAGATTATTTTTTTTGTTTGTTTACAGCATCACGCAAAAATTTCTTTGCGGATTTGCATAAACTTTGGGGCCAAGGTAGAAACTACTAAGTACTGTGGGTAGCACTTTTTTTCTTTCATAGTTGTGAAAATGTCAATCCCAGAGAGAAGGTAGAGGTTTTCTTCGAATTGTTTGAACAATTTCAGGCTCTTTACAGTATAACGCGCATTACCGCCATCTGTAGGACTGCAATATTTACCACATTCACTCATTGCTTTCCAATTTTGCAAAACGCGTCTTCAGCATTTCCTTGACAGCACACGAGGCAACGGAAGGCTTGAGTAATAGCGTGATGAAAACTATATAAATCAGTACACACACATGCTCCGTTTTAGGCTTCGCAGCAGTTCCCAAGATCCAACCTCATACTGTAAATTGTGCGACAATCTGCCAACAGACATCATTTAATTCACTTTCCTTCATCACTGAGTTTTCTTTTGCTTTGTCCAGCCTACAACAGAAGCCATGCTAACATTCCACATTCAAATATGCCACAAGTTCACCTCTGTTGTGAACAAGCACATAACAGGCATCAAAATACAAACTCCACACAGGAAGACCGCAGCCAGAATCGAACCCCGCACCTCTGCACTGTGAGGCGGACGTGCTAACCAATCGCCCAAAGTGCCGCCAGGGAGTTTAGTTCAGTCAAATTAGCTCTGTGAATCAGCAAATTTTAGCAATTTTTATCTGTTGAAAAATCTGTATAAGAGGCAAGTTTGTGTTTTTGAGGGTGGTGGGGCGGGGGTGTTAAATCTTCATAACTTTGCATCAAATGCAGAGTATGGATTTAATCATATGAACTAGATTTTGTTAAAAGGGGAAAAAAATACCAGATGAACGGGGTGGAGTGTTATTCTGGGGGGGGGGAGAGAGAGAGAGAGAGAGAGAGAGAGAGAGAGAGAGAGAGAGAAAGAGAGAGAGAGATCATGTTCGAGGGAAGACCCCAATCCATGATCAAATGTTTTCAAAAGCTTTGTTCTTGGGGTGAAGCCTCTTTTTCTTTGTTGGAGGATTGATTGCCTCCATTAGCAAAGCGTGATAGTTAGCTGCAGAAGAATAAAAAAAACACAACAACAAATCAAATCAAATCAAATGACAGTCTATGTCTTCGAACGTTGTAAACCATTGACGTGCTTAAACTGAGCTCCTTGGAAACAATCACAAATAGAAGCTCATCAAATGGAAGGAAGACATACGAGCGAGGTATGCGCCAGAAATAGCAGGCCTCATTGCTGCTGCGTTACCAAAAACAAACCACCCATGATCTGACGCGTCAGAAACTTCTGAACGCCGCTGTTTAAAAATAGAACAAGCTCCTATTATACACTGGGATTTATTTGTGGGCTGTGCTGTGCACGAGCCAAAAGTGGGTTATGGATTAGTCGCTGGCTGTTTGATGACGAAGCACGCAGCCTTGGGAGGCGTCTTTTGAAAACCATCACCAACCTTTTGAAGCCCCCCTAAGTCTGTCCCCACTGATGGCGCCGCCTGCGCTTACATGTCAGCATTTGCCGCAAGACTCTCTCGCAGCTCGGCTCGGGCGAATGGGCGAGGAGAGCCCCGGGCACATCCAGTAGCCATGAACGTCATATTTCATTAAGACCAAGCTTAGTAAGCTCTGCTCGCTGCGCATTTGATCACACAAGTCGCGATGCGGCTTTGGGTCATAAAAGGCTGAGGAACAGCTGGTGATGACTTGGGACGTTACCACACAACAAAGTGACGCATCGGCCACACTCGGGCTGATCACCAGAGCGTGGGGGGGGGTGACTTTGAGAAGTTAACAACACAACAGTGGGGAATGCGCTGCTGTGCCATGCTGCTGTGGCCACGCGGCGACAAACAAGTCAAATGGTACTGTACCCAAAGGAAGCAGACTTCCACTTGCGACATGGGACGACTCCTCGGCTGCCCACAGACACGATGCTTCCAGGAGGCTCGGTGACTTGGACAGGCAGGGAGGCGTGTCGCCTGTAGGAGAACAGGTTACAACAGGTTACGGGTACAAAGGTCACAGGAAAGAATCACTCTACAGTCGGCGTGGAAGGGCCGCTACAAAAAGGCCAACAATGTGATTCCGCCTCATTCACGCATCATTCGTTTTCCCTTTGAGGAAACAAGGCAAATGTGATCCTTTAAGTCCGTTTGCACTTTTATGTGCTCCAAATAATGATGCTAATGACATTTCTATGATTTTCCAAAATAGTTCATGCAAAAATAGTTAATGCAAAAAGACCCTCAGCATAATTTTGCCATCACCGTTAGAGGATGATTTGAATATTTTTTAACAAACCTCGTGGTGATAACAGTACTTTTTTTTTTTTTAACAAAAACTTCCAAATTATTTCGCACAATGGAGTTCCAATATATTTTACAGGTTGTAAAGAAGTGAATATATGGTGTAACGCTATCTAAATCACTGTCTGCCCTTCAGTGTCTCAAACCTGGCCTGGGGACCACCTTTGAATTGCAATTGGTTGCACTGGGAGAATAGGCCCGAGTTGCTTGTGGGGTAGCTGTGAATAGGACTATAATGCCGGACTGTGCAGCATTAGGTTGCAGTTTGGAGTCCGATAGCAAGGCATGCATTGATAAGGAATGAGTCCAGGCAGATTTCTTGTGGATGTAAATAAGAAAACAAAACGGTGCTCTTTCTATGCATTTCATCCTGGAAGAACCCAGTGCTCCGGGCTCGAAAAGAAGCCGAAAAGTCTGAACACCCTCAGGAAATAAGTGAAAAGCCCTCCTTCACAGGAAGGAGATGCGGCCACGACATTGTGTTTAAAATGCTTCATTCACATCATTCCTTTAGTCCTTTTTTTCCTTTGTACCACCACCACTTGTTTGTTTGTACAGATTTGCATTCAGACTCCGACTCTTGTCTGAGAAGTGATGCTCCCACGTAAGCTGGTGCATGCAACGCGAGTGGCGTACTGGCTGGTCGGCCAACATTAAGGCCATTCAAGTGTTTGATTTGGGGTTGCCATGGCAACGGCAGAGAAACTGCTCTCCTCGTGGCAATCCAGTGCACCGGCAACAAGATTTTGAAGCTGCGTAAGGCACGTTTGTGGTAAGTTGTTGTATCCGTTCTATTTATTTTGAATCGCATACGGAAAGTAAAACATTCCAAGTTACACTGCAAGGTGCTTGAATTCCGTTTGTGTAAGCACATTTGACAAGCCTTCGCAACACGGAATACTGGAGTAGTTTGCAAAGGAGGTGCCATGATTAACCTCTAAAATGACAACGTTAAATCAACTCTAATGTTAAACTTGTGCAGACTGAATCGAAATGTCTGCCTCAAGGGAGGGTTTGTTGCAAAACGGCGCCGCACGATGAATAACAATGAACGCCGTACTGTTGTGAAGTCAATTTAAACTGCTGAACACACACAAACACCACACACCGACCGGACCAGCAATCCTCTTTTGCAACCGCACTTCTTTCCATCCTCCATTCAACCCATTTTGTCATGCGTGTTCATGTTTATGCGTTCACGTCAAACTAAAGACATTGTAGAAATACAACAGCGGCGACAAAAACACTCTTTGCGACGATAGTTGATGTTCAACGTGATGCATCATGAGCAGTTTTGTCCTCCCCTGATCACAGCTGTGACATTTGTCATCTTCTTTCTTTCACTGGACTCTATTTCCCCAGAGACACAACTGAGCCGTGCCCCCATCAGACACGAAGCAGGCATGTTTCTCCAACTGTCAACGCGCACTCACACTCCTACGGTCTCCCAGCTTCTCTCGAAGGAGTTACGTCTTTATAAAAACAAAAGAAAGCTCACATGGCATGGTAATTCAAATATCCAATCGCCCATCCTTCCATTTTCATTCCTGCTTTGTCGTCATTATGGTTTGCGAGTGAGCTGGAGTCTACGCCAGGTGACTTCGGGCAACCCTGGACAAGTCGCCAGCCCAGCACAGCACACGAATCACAACGGTGGCTTTTTGTTTCCAAGATTTGGTTTGTTGCTTTGCCAAGCTTCCACGAGCCAATGAGCAATCGGCAGAGGTTTCTTTCGTGCAGCTCATGCTGTAATCAGCTACTATTTGATGAATGCTGCACTGAGGCACTGAGTCATATCATTGAGTTCAGTATGCCACAGCTGCCGGCGTTTGCTGTTGTTTTGGTATCATGAATAATTCATTTCCGAACTGCAAATGTCTGCTCTCAGCTACAATGCAAGGAGCTTGAAGTAGTTTCCTGCCTTGCATTAATTACAGTAAGAGTTATTTTTCCCCCCCTCATTTTCAATGAATGGCATTCTGCTGCAAAAAAACTGAGAAAAGTACCAGCAAGTGAGTGAACCAGAGTGAATGTACCAAATGAACAAGACGTTTCAATGAGACCTGCTTTTCCAACACAGGGCTGCAGCCACTGAAGAGGACATTGCTTGTTGATCCACATATTTGCTGCATTGGCTTTTGTTTTTTTTTTTGTTTTTACCTGGTGTTTCGAGCTTTATTCTGATTTCCACAAAGTGATAGGGCTGCATAGAATTGGGCTCTGGCTCAGACCCGCCAACCACTGAGGATTCTAACGAAAGCTGAAATGAGTCCTCGAGTAATTCAATTAAAAAAAATGCTCGAGGAACAACCGCAGCAACATTGTTCATACTGTGCATGACAGTAACATGCCACCAATGCATTAAGAAGGCCAATTTCAAAATAAACCATACCTTACCATATCGGGACATCAATTTCTAGGGTAAGCTTTTATTTTGAAGTTGTTCCCTAGAAGCATGTCACGGCGTAACGGCTGACTTGACCCATGTTCCAGATTCTGGAACCGTTCGCCATCAAAATGTTCCGACCGACTTCAACACGACGACGTCCTGAAATAACATCCATCCGTTCATTTTACAATCGGCTTCTCCTCACAAGGGTTGCGAGTGTGCTGGAGCCTATTGTGGGTGTCTTCGGGCAGTAGGCATATAACCTGAACTGGTTGCCAGCCAATCGCACGGCACACATAGACCAACAACCATCCGCGCTCACACTCACACCTGGGGACAATTGAGAGAGTTCCATTAACCTGCCTCGCATGTTTTTGGAATGTTGGAGGAAACTGGAGTACCCGGAGAAAACCCACGCAGGCACGAGGAGAACATGCAAACTCCACACAGGAAGGCCGGAGCCGGAATCTGCACTGTGAGACGGACGTGCGAACCAGTCGACACCGTGCCGCCCCTTGAAATAACATTCAATCGCTAATTAAGAGCCTTCAAAAAAACCAACTTAATTACGCTGACAGGGTACTGTATGGTGCCTGTTGCCAGTGTTTCGTGGCAGCTCCAGCGCCTGCAAGCGCTAGCCCGACACAGTTACGGTTCCACCAGATCATTTTTGAAGAAACCAGGCTTACTCAAGTGTGTTGTTTTAAAATCTCAATGAGGTTCTGACGTCACTTCATCTCATGATGAGAGATTTGTCTAAAATCTAAGGAATATTGTCTTGAGAGGAAAACAATATGCTGCTTTAATTTGACTACAAAATCGTGAATACTGAATAAAGAACATACATCCAGTTTTCTTTTTTTTTTCAGTGGAAATTTATTTTTTGTCTTCCATACTTATAACCAAGAAAATATATATTTAATTTTATCCGTATACGTGATTAGTCTAGAAAATTATCAGTGGCATAACCAAATACAAAAATATTCGGTAGCTGAAGCCCAAATTCTTGCTATGTTGGCTAGGGCAACATTCCCATCAAAGGCAATGCGCGGACAGATGTGACAGTCATGTTGGCAGGGGCAACAGTTCCAGAAAATGCAATGGAAAGCACAAACGTTAGCTTTTGGCATCACCGGAGGCACGCAGTTCAAAAAGAGCGTGTCACGTCTACCTGTTCATATCATTTGAGTTTTTAACAACAGTTTTTCACAACAAAACCGAACTTTTTCAGTTAGCTTCTCACTAATACCTGCTTATTCTATTTATACAATACATCTTTATTTATATAGCGCTTTTACAACAGCTGCAGCTGTAACAAAACACTTTATAGAACAGTTAACATAAAATAACAAAAATAATACCTACTTTTAAACACCGTAACTTTTCATGATCTGTCTCATTCACATGTTCCTTTGATATTCCTTTGAGGTCTTTTATGAATGGTTTGATCTCTCTAGCATTCATATTTTTAGAATGGAAATAAATGGTTTCAGTGTTTTTCATTCAATAGCTTCAGCTCTGCTATGCGGGACTGTGTTCTCGTGGGCTAGTGATGGAGTGTGGGTTGGGAGTCATTTTTAATTCATGCTAAGGCACTTTCACACGGGATGTTCTTTGTTACAGTATACAGTTTTTTTTCTTGTCAAGCCCTGAGCCTTAGCATCCAAGGTTAAAAAAAAAATGGAAGCGTGCTAACATCGTGGCTTGGGAACGTGATCAGCAGCCTGCTATTACCCCATCCCCTGAAGGACGAGCAAGAAAAATCAGGATAAAGCTGAAAACTTTTCAGTTTCAAGCTTTTTTTTTTTTTTTTTAATATAATTAGCGACAATAATTTTTTATTCCACAGGCCATTTTTAGGCCACAAAAACAGTACAAATGTTTATTTTATTATTTGTTAAACATTTTTTTGTTTTGTTTTTGTAATGGGTGTTTTTAGGCCACACACACACACGCAAAGCTGCACGCGCACGCGCACACACACACACACAAATAGTAATTCAAATTTAATGGGCCACCCCTCCCCCTTTTTAGTTTTTTAAAATCAAACGCAACTGTCATTTCTACAGCTACCACCAATCATCTTGGACTATTACGGCACTGAAACACACACACAAGCACACGCACGCATCAGATGTAGGCACTAAAGTGGGCTCTGCTGAAAACGTCACTTAATTCAATCGAAATGGTTGCATTAGACCAAGTCACTCTTTAGGAGCTCAATCAACGACATCAGTATGACATCAGCCAAGGCCAGCAGAGTGAGACACTCAGTCCTTGTTTACAATTAACAATGATGTCCCAGCACCAGGAGATTCTATTGTTCTCTCTTTTTGCTTAACACTCATACGCTGCATTGTTTAATCTCTGCAGAGCGTCTATAGAGTAATGCCTGATTAGAGCGACTTGAAATCCATTTCAGTGGGTCAAAGGGAACGAAAACAAGACAAGCTGGAAGGCTCAGTCTCCCACATCTGCGAAGAGGAGCACTGCTCTCTATGGCAACCGAGGGCTAAGGAGAAAAGAGAGGGAGGCGGCACTTGACAGACATTGACATACGTACACAACAGTCACGTCTGGTCTCTGCAGGCATGGCCGTCACATGTGACTGTCACTGGACCGCAAATAGACTGACCGCCAATCATGCAGCAATTGGGATGTTTGACTTCTGCTTTCAGGTTGCCACAACAGTTGCAAAGTCGAAATCAGTTTTCAAGTCAGGCTGGCAGAGCTTAACTGTTGACAAAATCGGACAAGCTTTATTTAGCTTTGTGTGTGTGTGTGTGTGTGTGTGTGTGTGTGTGTGTGTGTGTGTGTGTGTGTGTGTGTGTGTGTGTGTGTGTGTAAGTTTGTTTTCAGCAAATACGACCAGTTGGAAGCAAAGACTCATTCAATTTGAACATCTCTGGTCTAACCCTGTTTGTAATTTTGCATTGAGTACATCAGCAAGTTAGCCCGTAATTGTTTTAATTGAATAACGTGTTGCCTTCTGTTCTTTGGAGGAAGGCTGGAAGGGGTTTTGGCCCTTAAAAGGAAGGATTTATTCATCTCTCTGCTTTCCTTCAAGAAAATCTAGGGCCGAGTGCTTCTTTCCACAACTGTCAGCAGGAATTTTGAGGGGGCTAAAAAACGTTTTTGAAGAATTATGAAATTTGCACCGCTCGGAAGAACCACGATCATTCATAAATCATCTCAACCAAGTGGAAATTTTAACTATCCGCTCAGCTGTCACACACAAATAAAGCTGCCACCTAAAAGTTATGCACAAGCTCAGGACAGGACAGTAAACAGGTATAAATGTGAAGTGTGTCAATTCTCATCAGTGTCATAGTGATCGGTCACCTTTTCGGACTTTGTGAATGACCCACTAAAAAAAGATGAGCGTCTTTATTGCTCGACGGTCTCTGAAGAACAATCCAATACAAGCGGGTCAGCGAGGCTGTCAAGAGCCTCCCTGCCACCCTCGCCTTGGTTCTAATCACATCTAAATGAAGCCATCCATCCTGATTACAAAACAGCACACCAATTAAACACCGCCTTGTTGTTATTCCTCTATCATTAGCCAAAGCGTGTGCATGAGAATAATCTGCCATTATAGGCCATGGCCTTCTCGCTCTCCCGACATGCACACTTCAACAAAACCTGCTCACCACGACTCTTTGGAGAGCAGTGTTCTTTTTTTGTTTTTTTTTTTTTCATGGGGCCTGTGCCAAGTTCAGTGGCTTCTTCATTATTAATGATCAGGAAAGCTAGCAGGGGCATGTAAAACAGAAAACGCTAAACCAGGCGGTCCGACTTGTGTCACAACGTGGCGTATGAGCAGGGTGATGGATGTCATGACAACAGGTCTGCTGTGCGCAGAGCACTGTTTATCTGCTGCAGTGATTTCAGCTTTGAGCTGTGATGAAAGGCGACAAAAACAGAAAGGCAAGCCGTATATTGAGAAATTCACATTGCGGCGACTTGAAAATGTCTGCACTTCCACTTGGAAGCGGTGCCGCCGTCTTTCCTCGGAAACGCTCGCACTCAAAGCTGAGGAATAGCACGCGAAAGCAGCAGGGATATGCAAATGGATTTCACTGTCCATTGGGAAGTGTGGCGTGAAGTGGAATACAGGTGAAAATATTCATTCATGTAGAGAATACGACGCATCTCGATGATACATCATTTGTGTGACCCTAGAAACGTTCTCATTTTGTTGACACTTGAGTCAAATTTAAGTGTGAAACGGGGTGCTTAAGTTGGGCAGAATAAATTCAGTCAATAACTTCCTTTCCATGAATGAAGGACAGTGTCTTGCAAAACTATTAGCCCCCCCCCCCCCCCCCCCCACTCTCCCCTCCGTTTTATGCACTCACCCATACCTTGTCACCCACAAGGCTTCCTCTTTCTAACTGCTCTTTTGTTATTTCCTCACAGTGAGTGTTAATGTTGGAGGAAAGCAGTACTTGTTGGGACTGTACGACACTGCCGGTCAGGTACGTACGTTTTTTTTATTTTTGTTTTTTTGTTACTGTGGTCTGATGCCAAGCATGTCAAAGAAAAGCACACACGCCCCCGCCCCCTGCTCGCGAACACACACACACACACACACACACACACACACAAACACA